GTCCAGTTCATTGGATCATTCGCCCTTTGGACGGGGTCAAACCTCCGAGGTACCCAATACACCTCGATGCCCAATCGAACCGGTGACCACTGCCACAACCGGGTGGATGTGTGGTTCGTGCGCCTCCTCTTGATTAGTTTGGAATCAGGGTATTTAGCCAACTCCCCTAGGTGAACTGCCAGTGGTTCACCAATCCGGATATCGGCTTTTCGTCCTCTCACTTTCGTGCAGAAACACCTCCGCCACGAGAAGGCAGTTAGTAGGACTTTCTCAGCAGAGGCTATTTGGGACGCTTGGTCGTAAGGGAGCATTTCGCGAGGTGCAAGGGAAGAGTAACCAGCCACAACCCTAGACACCCACCCCCGACCATACTGAGGCTTTTGGAGGGTTCTTGTATGCGTGTTTTGGAGACACAGCATACGTGTAAACTGAAAGTATCAAGGGTTCTAGCTCAGGCAGCTTGCTGGCCGATCTGACAGACTGGGCGGACGTTTAGTACAGTCGAGTAAAACGGAGATTTTGGTTTTATCAACACTATGGCCTTTGATTGGTTGGCCTTACTGGTTCAAAACTGATATCCGATAGGTGGGATAAACGCGAGGTATCTCGTACACTTAGGGAATGAGCGAAAGAAATATACGGATGAGAGAGGGTTTTCCAAATGGGTGCCTGAGCATTTAGTTCGCCTTATACTTCGCGGTAACCCACACCGACGATGGTTTTTTTTCGGAAACCCTGATTGGAGCCTTTAACTCAAAAGTCTGACCTACAAGGCATTGGGGCGTAAATCCAACATGGGAGCATGACCGAAGCTCCCTTATGGGAGCTTCTAGAGACCTGTCGGACAAGGCATTTGGGTTTCGGTCATTGTATTCGCTGGTGTGTTGATTGTCGGTCCGCTGTTCGGGATTAACCCTTAGTCTCTTGCATCCAATGAAACAGGCGGAATGTGGACGAGACAGCACCTTGACGTCTGGGGGCTGCCTAGCTTGGGTGGGCGCAGCTGTCCAATGAAGGGCGACGACTTCTCCCACTAACGGGATGAAGCTCCAAGTACCGTGCCTCTACGTCCATTTAGCGATTTTTTAACGGTGAAGTGCTCCTCCGCCTGTTTGTTGCTGAAGTGGCCTCTCCAGGGGTGAAACTGTATAGTCAGGGAGCCAGGTGCCCAGTCAGCTGGCCTCGTGCGACTGTCCTTTACCCATTGACCTTTCAAACATGATTGGATCCGCAGCTGTGAAAAACCATCTTATGTAGCTCACAGGGACCTGAAATCACGCAAGCCGTCATACCACGTCTAGTTGCGGTCTCGTCGTGATGTGCTGGGGCTGGTAGTTATGCACAGCTAGGCTTCCTACTATGTGTTGGCTGTAGTGGTTCCCTATCCGTTCTCAGCATACAATGATGATTATGTCAATGTCATCTATCCTAATTGGGCCCTGTATGCCCTAGTCCCAGGGCATATGTTCTCAGTAAACGAGAGAACAGTGGCTCGTGATGACCACATGGCACACCTGCTATTCATCAAACGGTGGTGTCGTAAAAAGGCAAATCTGACTAGGTCTTTGTGATTATGGTGTTCACTTTTTCTACTGTTTGGTACTCCTAGTCCCGCAATAAAGATCGTTTTCCTCGGTAAATTGCTAGTGGACAGACTGGCTCGGTCTAGTTTGGAGACTGGACTTATCTTTTCGTGTAAATAGAATCTCATGTTCGGAGGTGATGAAGTGGGTTATAAAGGGTTGGTGTGAATCGATTTTTGTCCCAACTCTCAGTAAGTGAAATGTGTTCTTTCATGAAAGTCGCTGATTATCCTGTCTAACTGGCTTCGTTCTTCGTTGAGCATGTGCGCACACAAACAGTGCATTCGTGGGAATTAAGCTGATTTTTCGACTCAACAAGGGTTGCTATGACAACATCTCGACTTTTCTGAACAATCTCCTTGCACAGAACGCTGTCCGGCTGTTGCTATACATCCTTCTGAGTTCTGTTTATTTGTCTTTTCAAGTTCCAGTGCTTCAACTTTCATTAAGCTAATTAAGCTTAATTATTCGTCAGGTCATCGTCATCATCACCAGCTGTATGGTGTAGCCCTTTGAGAAAGTGACGCACATCCTGCTGATGCTGTAAGATAAACGAAAAAGGGTGAAATGCTTTTGTTTGCGACGACTTTAAGATGGAATATCTTGATCCTTGTAATGAGCTTTGTTCTTGGAACACTAAATTTCCGTGACTAATTGCCATCCAATGCAGTCAGCTCAGTTCAGTTTTTATAACCCTGAACTATGTAGTTTCGTTCGGCGGTTTTGGTTGCTGTCCATTGGCTGCCCATTTGAATAAAAGGGCAGAAGGACGGTTGGAATGTTGAGAGCAGAGTCAAAGAAAATATAGTGAATTCATGTAGACGGGCTGCAAGAAAAATGAGTAAATCCACGAGCGCCACTGTTTGCCATATCATTCTGTCTCTAACCACCGGTTACCACGATCTCTGAATCTCCGTCTGGGGAGCCTAAGGCAGCTTATACAACCGAGTCTCCAAAGTTTTTGAGAATCTCTTTCGATAAAGTTCAAAGAAATGTAGCCAAATTCATGAATTCCTATTACACCCTTAAACCCCAAATTTTAATTCCGACCAATTGTTCACGATATGGGTATTACTTCCTTCCCGTTGTAACCAGCCAGTTTAATCTGGCGTACACCCAGTGAAGCTGCCTTATTGTGGTTCAATGACACCATCACGCGGTTTCCAGAATACCCTTGTCAGGATAAACATCGGTTCGGTTGGGCAAAAGTGCGTTTGAGCACACTTCAATTTAAGTTCGTACAACCATTAACCATACACTTTCAGGTACCGGTTTTGGTTGCCCATCTGGATGAACAGTTGTAGAAATACAGCAAGATTGAAAGCAGAGTCGAAGAGAGAATGGAGAATTTCAGTGGACTAGGGTTGCAAAGAAATTGAGAACATGCACGAATACCACTGTTTACGACTCTCAGCCGTATCACTCGGTGTCTCTAATCGTCGGGTACGATCATCCCGGGGTCCCCAGCCAGGGAACCTAACGGGACCTATGCGAGCCACCCTCCTCGTTGGGGTTTCCATACCCTCATACCAGGTCCTAGACTGGCCACCCTTGGCTTTATTCTACCCACTACCTACCTCGGCAAACATCGCTCCCCGTGACCGCCTATTTGGTGACATGCGTAACACATCTCAACCAACGTAATCTACGGAGGTCGACCAATTGCCCCGCGGTTACCTAAAACTGCGTCTAACCTCAGCATTGGTCGTCCGGTTATCCCTTCAGATTCGTGCAATGTTGCGTAGGCAGCGGTGTTCAAACACCGACAGTGTCTTTATCCTGTTTTCTTAATGGTCAAGTTTCTGTGCTGTATAACAGAACTGGAGGCAATGGAGGCTTCCATTACCCCTGTTTTACACCGTGTCCGGTGCCAGAATTTTCGTCTTCCGTTCGATATTTATCTTGCATTAATGAAACCTTTCCCATGTGGGGTTGTGCATCCACTTATCTTTACGTTGTTTCCCGTCAATGTGGCTGATTTGCCTTTTTATTACCTAAAGTCTCAGTTTTTAATTACAGATATGCATTACATGATCACATGGCGGTGGCCACGTTACAAACATCAAATGAATTGATACAAGCCATTTTCCGCGGCAGTGTCGAGGATTGCGTTCTTCTGTTGGATCCTGAATCTGCAAACTATCAGGTTAGAATGGACACTCCATTTTTTACTCCCAGTCACTCGTTTGGTTTCGTTGCAATTACTGTACTGGGCATATTGGTTGGATAATCATTTTCCACATCCCGGTCCCTCACGTTATTGGGGTATTTCGCGTACTACGATGTGATTTACTGGCTTACAGGTCAAAAATCATAATATTTTGAAGACTTTTTGGGTTCTAATTAAAGCTGAAGAAGCGCAATTGTCAACTGTTCTGTTCTTGGTAAGAATGGTTAGCGATGTCTACTCAGTTCAGTTTGTACAACCATTAACCATGCACTTTCGTGCGCCGGTTTTGTTTGCTGTCTTTTAGCTGCCCATTTGGATAAAGAATAGAAGAGAGGAAAGTTGAAAATACAGTCGAACAGAAAATGTGTACTGTCTCGCATGTTCCAACGGGACAGCAATTGCATTTTGGGAACCCACACCTATCCCTAAGCTACAAAACTGACAGGCCCAACATCAAGCAGATGACCATTATTACGCAGCCCCGTGTATCTGTGCATCCGGTAAATGTCAAGCGTTTTTTTGCTAATTATGGTGGACATAAACCAAAGCACAGTAATGGAGATAACGTAGTATTGAACAAGACACTCAGTTACTTCAGTATAGCGGTTTCAGTTAAAAATTTTATTTTGTTTTTTGGAAAGTGGAAAGGACAATAATTGCAAATTTTGGATGTGAACAAACTACTAGGCCACTAGTACTCTGTTTAATTCTTTATCTTTTGTCCTAAACCACCCACTTTCCCTTTGCCTCATCTTTCGGCCTGTAACACCCTCAAATTACATATCTGTCTCTCACCAGAGCTAGTTGCCGAACAGCGTTTTCAGTAGTGTACCTTCGCGTGAATTACAGAATTTGAAGCGTCTCCAAACTAGTGAACCTGGGGGTCTTCCACGTGAATACTCATGAAGGTAGATAAACAAGCTTATCTTGATTGTGCGTCGAACTCTCCAGTGATTCATGTATTCCCTGTATCAGAGATGGGAACTCAAGATCCTAGTAGAATAAGCCACTTACCTGCGCCATGAAGTGGCTTATTCTATGCAGAAAACATCGATCACTAGAGGGTCCGATGTACGCCCAAGATAAGCTTGTTGACCCACCTGGATCAGAGTCCGCATGTGGAAAGCCTCCAGATTCAGTGGTTGACACGCCGGGTTTGTCCTGGCCACAATTCCTTCACTTCAAGAGACGGCAAGGCTCGTCCACTAAGTCAGTTTGGATTGCGTATTATACCGAACAACAAAGCCGAAGCCTCACTGATCGAATTCCCGTCAATAGTGGTTTATGTTTGATGTGGCTCCAGGGTTCTGCTGTTGTTCGGAAGGCAAACAACGTCAAAGTATGTTTGCCAATAATTTCAGCGTACGATCCCACTAACTAACTAACTAACTGCAATTCGGATGCATACAAAGATGAGTTCACTGATAGACTGACGGAACTCATCCGGCGAAATGGAAACTCCGATGTGGTTGTAGACGATTTTAACGTGCAGGCCGGAACACCAAGTACTTCCCAAGTCCGTCCGATAGGCCACTGTGTTTTCTCCTCCCAACGATTGTGTAATGCGATTGGCTCCATTTCTGCTCTGATCACCGACTTCTGATCCAGCTTTGGACGTAAAATTGGTGTTCTATTGAGGCGGGTAAGCTGACCAAAATTAACCACAGTTGTGAGCTGCTGCTGGTGTGGTTCAGTACAAAAATCCTGTTGGACTATCCGTGTTGATTTGGATCGTGCACTAGTTATGGTTCACTTCACGTTTCCACTTGTCAGTCCTGACCGAAAATCTCAACCTCGGTTCACCATCATCTTCATTACCATCATACAGCGAGATACAATGAAGCGAACTTCGCGGATCGCTGTCAAGCTTATGATGTACACAAATTAATTGAGAAATTACAAAACGGAGATGAATTGATCCTAATTGAAGAATGAAAAATGAAGTGAATCTCTGTGGTCAACACAGAGTACACAGTTCCATTGTGCATAGATACTTCCTGCATTCTGATCTCATCAGACAACACGAACGCCACTGCTTTCGGTTGGTTGTCATATCCTTCAGTATGTTCAACCAACCGGTTGCAAGGTCTTTTGGACCGCAACCTGGAAGAGAGGAGACACTTATTCTACCTAATCGCTCTATGCATTTCTTCATGCCTCGTTTACATGCCATCTGTTGACCTCCATGTGGGTCCTTCCAACCTGGAGCCGCAACTGCAAAGGTGCGGCGCTGTAGGTGATAGTTGGGCATGCGTAACACACGTCCTAGCCAGCAAAGCCGCCTAATCTGAATTCGATGGGAGAACGTATTCACCATCGAATCATTATCAAATACGCCACTCCTTACCTCAGAGTTGCTTACACACTCGCTCCATTCAACCTGCGCCAAACTATCTAAACTTCGGTAGTCGAAGACTTCTAGACGACGAATATCTTCCACGTGCAACCTCGGTTAGCCCATCGTCATCTGTGTAACCCATCTGTTTGCATCCATAATGACGAAGAGCTTAAGCAATAGCTTGGGGCAACACGGCATGGTGGATCAGATAAGCCATGGTATCATGATAAACATGAAATTCATTCAGTATCAAACTCGGCGTGTGCAGCTGAGCCCGAAGTTCATTGAACACATTGGATCTCTCAGGATTCAGGAGCTCCAATGGTGAAAGTTTGCGTTCTGCCATCAGCAACAGATGTCATCTGCAAACCCAACTCGGTAAAAACCTTGAAGCCTCAGTATGGTCGTGATTGGGTGTCTTGGAATGTGACTGGCCATCATTCCCTTACACCTCGCGTTATGCTCCTATATGACCGAGCGCCCCGAATAGCCTCTGCTGAGGAAGCTCTACATACTGCGTTCTCACGGCGGTTTTCCCACCAAAATGAGAGAACAGAAACCAACATCTGGATCTATAACTGGGTTGGTAAATCGAAGAGTTCGATTGTGCACTCTGTGTGTGTTAACCAGAGAGGTTTACCTTCTTCCCCCTCCATCAATGTAGGTCCAATCCCTGTCCACCTTAAATTTTACCACTAACCTTGAATGCATTACGAGTTTGGTGACGATAAGTGAAATTCGCTTTACTGTATTTCGCTGTACGATGATGATGATGATGAGTGGTCACCGTCTTGAATGAGGATCGAGATGCACTGGGCTCCTTGGACGTTTGACCTCGTCCAAAGGAGTGTGGTCCGATGAACTAGACGCTGATTCCTAACGGATTTTTATGTTCGCACACCGCTCCTCTGTCTTGTGGGTCAGGCGTTGGCTGACTGAAGGCTCGGGTTGTGAATTACCCATAAAAATTCACCTGCTTTGGCCTGTGCAATCTGGCTGTAATCCGCCCACATGCAAATCATAAAACTATTTTTCTCGTTATGCAGATTATTGTGCTATGATTTGTTTGGCACGCAGTCTAGATTCAGGCCCGTGTGAAATACAAAATACAAGTAAATACCCCAAAAGAAGTTTACTCCACTGATTTCACTCTACTTGCATAGTATTTATGAAACAAGTGTCCTCGGTGCGTTGATGCTTGTCGCATTTCAACTCAATTTATTTGGTTGTCTTAGACTGCTGATGCAATAACCGTGCTCGATTTTCTTCAACTCCCACCTTTTTAGGATGCACAGAAACGAAGCGTGCTTCATGCGGCGGCGCACTGTGGTGAAGCGCGTATCGCCGAACTACTTCTGAAAGAGGGTGCTCGTGTGAATGCAAAAGATACACGCTGGTTCACTCCACTGCATCGTGCTTGTGCCTCGAACGCAACAGAAGTGGTTCGGGTAAGTGGGCGTTTAGATCAGACATGCACAATCCTTATGCACCATAGTTTTGCTTCAATATATTTATATGTATATCTACGTTCCTGTCTCTAAACTTACATTTTTCGGTAGGTTAGTAGTAACTCCTGGCCTAAAATACACATTTTTTGCATATAGAAAGAAAGCAGTAATTGAATCGTTTCATTGTGTATGTGTGTGTGTGCCAGTTATGCCGCTTCTGTTGCAGTCTTCATTATCGCTTCATCTTTGGCCTCATTTGATGAAGAGCAATCACACCCGTCGAATAGACAGATAGTGGAACGGAAGGAGCAGAACAAGATAGTTGGTGTCAGTCAGTTTTTGTGTGTACCTGCTTGCACGTTTTTCCGGTTCACCCACCCGCAACTGCTGCTTTACTGTCAGACCTTCCAAGCGGGTTAAATGGTAAATGTGCTGTTCTTCACCTCAGCCAGGTAGATATAAATTCAAACCAATAGCGCAATAGTTGTGCATCAACTGTCCATCATCGAACCCCATAATCCAATATCCAAGTTGTCGAGCACGCTGTCTCTCCCGACCAGAACTTCACTTCCTTCTTCACCTTCGCCGACCCAGGGTTACAGATCCGATTCTCCAAAAACCACTGGTAGCCGACCGCTGAGTGGTCGGCACAAATAACGATTCGGAGCCCAGCGGATTCCTAAACCGACACTCCCGAACCTTTTTTTACACGGACGTACAAGATTTCTGTAGCATATTTCCCGAGGTGCTGTTGCGCTTGCAAACTGGTCTGTGGGATATTGTGATTACTGGAACTTGGTTGACTGCCAACATTCTCGACTCTGAATGGCGCTTACCTGGAATGTCTCCGCTTAGACGTGATCCTCTTACAGAAGATGGCAATGTGCTGCTATATTTCCGCAGCAATCTTCGGTGTGAACCGCCTTATGCCCTCGATGAACACAATGAGGCTATGCAAAGATAAGAATTGTTTGATTGGTGTAATCTGTCGCTCTCTTGCATCCTCAGGCTCAACTAGTGAGGCACTATCGCAGACCACGAAATGCGCTCTCTCGATGAAGTTCACTCAGATTCTTGTAATGATAGACTAATTGTTCCGATTTCATAAAACGCCAGGACTATAACCACCCACTCACACGACATTTAACAGTTGATTGACTCCCATTCGATGTAATTGTGTAACGGAGCCTATCACATTTGGAACATACCACTTACCATCAAAGTTGAACTTAATGTTGACAAGCGAGAGGCTTATGTTAGAATCTGTCAAAATCACATCTCCATTAGGATGCAGCGATCATGCAGTTCTGCTTTTCGATTTCACTTACCGTGCCTTTATAAGAAGATGCCTGAAAACCAACACATGCACCCTTATTGACTTTTTGTTTGCGGAGAATAAAAATTCCAAAGTTATGGTTCTTTGAAATATAAAATAGTGGTGCTTTCAATATAGGCCACACTAAGCAGTTTTCCCAGTTTGAGAAGTACCTACTTAAAGATCGCAAGTGGTGAGTTGCTCTCCGGCCTCTACAGGGTCACATCTACTTAGTCGAGGCATCCTTTGCTGCTCTCCACTTGCTTCTCTCTGAAAGTTTCCGAACTGGATATGCTTTGTTGTCATGAGAAACACATTTTTCAACTGAAAAAGTTCACTTTCTTTGTGGACGAATTCACTGTTGAGGTGTGTATTCATTTATGTGACGTCCTAACAGGATAATTGTAGCGTGATCACTTCATATCCTCCCAGAACAGTGACCGATAAGAAACTGTTCGAGTTGAACGAGTCTCCATCGTATTTTGTTCCTTTTTCTCTTTGTTGACCCTTCATATGGACATCGGTTGTCAGATCCTGTTAGCACACGGTGCAGACCGGAACGCACGGGACAAATCGTGGCAAACCCCGTTACATGTGGCCGCTGCCAACGCAAGTCTGGAATGTGTACAATTGCTGTTCACTCCATCGGACTCATTGATCAATGTGAATGCCTCGGATCGAAACGGGCATTCCCCACTTCATCACGCTGTCCATAGTGGGCGTATCGAGGTGAGAGAGAGAGACGCTATTCTCCTAACATACATGCTCGTGCCCATGTACGACACTAGTTGTAACGAAGTACCAATCCTTATTTTGCTCGTGGGCGAAACACTGCCAGTTTCCTCAAACTACAGCAGATGATCTTCTTTGATTAGCCACAAAGTGTCACTGTCCAACAAAGCGCTCGAGATCGGTTAATGGGCATCATCTGTCCTTTGGTCATGCACCAGAATCCGTCTTTGATTTGATTTATGTTTGATTAGTTTCCTCCACCAGCCTACAACTTTCTTTGAGTCCCCCGGCAGGTGATTGAATTGAAACACGATGAAAGAACTCTGCTCCGAATGTGTGACTATCGCTTGCAGTGGATTGTTTTCTAGTGCACTTGGTACGGTCGGTCTATTGAGCAAGACTCGATCTTAGTTCCAGAGATGTCATTTCGTATGGATGTATGGGCCATAGGTGAAGGCGAACTATAACACGATGTTCAGGTATAGTTTATTCATATTGTGAACGTAGTTGTACTTAAAAAGCGTATATATTGTGACGAAAATGCACTTCCTGGGTACAAGTATATGAAGGAACTAGCAAACGATAACCGGATACACATGCCTGATGAACGGAAGAACCGCGAAACCCCACGTATGCTTCCAGTGAAATTTTGTCCACTCATTCACATACCACTTATATACAGGTATTGACCAAACTCGTGCAACATCCTGATTTTCATCACATTTGTTCCTCTCAATGCTTCGTTTTTCTAGCCTCATTCACGGGATTGGATGTGATATTGCCCGACATCAGACGCAACATATCTGATATAATATCGACTTATGTCACTGCTTCTATTAGCCACATGGCATTAAAATGTACAATTTCGCGATTTCAACGATTTTTGCTAATGCATCAGTTGTAAGATAACAAGATCACAGTCGAAAGCGTAACTATAATTTATTTATTAAAATCACTCATAGACTTTATACAGATATTATTGCACTTTCATCTCGTCCATGTTCCATTTGCTCTTCTCCATTTCTGAGCACTGAAGGCAGTCGCTTTAGGATAGAATCCACCAAGTTGACTGCCAAACAGAATTTGCAAGTTTCCTCTAGTACACCGCACACCCTTAATACCACCGACCTAAGGCAAGGTAGCTAAGTTATCCCCGTTTCTGATAGAGGGAAAAGTTTCCGAATAAAATAAAATCCCAGTTGCTGCGCGTTAATAAAACGAATTTGACATTGAAATCGACCCCACTAGAAACTGCATCAATGTGAAAAGTAATATTTATTTTGGTTTAACCGTTTTCTACCACCAAGCTCAAGCGAGCTGATATGCCAACCTTTATATGTGAAAAATATGACTTCTGCGAATGCATTTTTGGAGTGACAGTTATCAAAAACCTCCCCTATCAGTGCAGAAAATTTTGCTATGTCCGAATTGGCGTATGCAGGAGACCAATAACAATGCGCTCAATAATCATATCCCTTCCAACTCGTTAGGCGGTGTAGATATTTCATTCTTTTGACAGGTAAAAAGAAATTTATTAGATAACTGGCTCAGTAGATCAGCTTTAACAATGTGCTGAATTACTCGTTGGCCACCAGTGAGATAAACCCATTGCCAAATGGGCGGACGACACGATTTGAATTTGTTGTTCAAATCAATACGCACTATGCTTTGTTGGGCGTTCGATAACAGCTTTATATCACGTGGCCTCAGCTGCATTTCAAATTGAGCCAGCATTTTTCAAACGAAAGCGTGGGGGAAAAGTGGTTAATCAGCCTGGACTATCATCCAGATTGGTTTTGTGCAACTATTCTCTGCTGCAATCAAACACAACCATTATCTTACTTTGCTATGACCGGTTTTCTCCCTCTCCGTTTATGTCTTGATGAAGAAATTTCGTTGAATATGCAACAAATTGGACTTATGTTCAC